AACCTAGAAGAGCCAGCAACCTAAGTGCTGCTAGCTGATTGTTGTAAAGCTAGTTTGCCACTTGCAGTACACCAATGGTAGACATGCAAATACCAAACAGAATGAATTTGCAATCTAAGACTGCATTGTGTCAAGCATGTGTAGATTTCCCTGACACTGCACACTATATGCTAAATAAATTCTTTCTGTGGGATATGTTGGAAGAAAGATTTTTATATAGTATATATAGCAACACAATAGAACAAAGGAAAATAGGAGGAGGAAGGTGTATTTTTCTTTGAAGACTTTTAGCTTCTCATCCAAGAAGCTTCTTCTTCAAAGAAAAACAAGTCAAGTTGCCTCTTGAAAACCCACCTTTGGGACAACTATGACCTGGACAACTGAAATCTCCATAGACTTGTCTTGGATATGTTCACCACCCCAAGTTATTTGTAAAAAATAATAAAGGTAAGATATAAAATAAAATACAGAGGTCAGAAGGATGTTGCAGGTACTCAACCAGTATCATTAAAGGAATGTTCTGTGCATGACCAGCTTGCACTCTGATGAACAGGTAAATACATTGGATATCATGGAAGCTGAAATCTAAAACTTGCTATTTTTTATATTGACCTATATCCACTATAGGAAGTACCCTCATCCAAAGCCTAAATTGAATACCATTCCTTTTAGTTTTACAGATCCTGTTATTCCTAATCGTAATCAGCACATCAGCCACTGAATCCTAAAATGTGGTTACTATTACTGTGTGGAGAAAGAATGGGATAACTGACAAGGGATAGCTCATTTGAAAGGTCTTGATGATCCAGCAACCTCTTGCTACTGTGAACCTCCAGTAAGTGCCAACTATATCTAGAAGAGACTAGGTTGCCTGGAGAAATCCCATGGTAAGAAAGTCAAGTTTGTTGGAAACAACATTCAGACCACCTGTTTGGGGTCATCTTTCCAGAAACTTCTACTAAATGGCTTATTCAGGTAATTTGATCCTTTTCTGGGTCTCAAAATCACCCAGTGAATTTTCATGAGGGAAAGTAATCTTGAACTTTGGATTTCCTTTAGGTGAGTTTCCTACAAACTGAGTTGAGGGCTGTTAATTTAATGCTGATGTTGTTTGAACAATAATGCAAACAGGGTTGCCATTGCCTTCATCCAGGATGGCTATTCCTACTTAGTCTATAGCCCTGGGATTTTCTGGTGATAGCCCGCCATCTCTGACTTCATTTAGCTTTTTGAAATCAGCCAAAGTTGCCCAGATGGGTAATATAAAACACACATTAATCTGAGTAAGTCAGACAGCAAGCAAGAAAGACGGCCCTTATTGCATCATTAGGTGTTTCTATGGAGCAGAGAGTTCATGGATTCATTTTTGCCAGAATTATTCTCCAAAAGTGCCCAACCTCGATCTTCATAATTCTTAAGCCAGAAACCATCCTCTTTTCAAAGGCACAAGGTTCTGGACGCCTGAAGATCAGACGCGCAGGTCGCATTGGGAGGAGGCTACGGTTTGGCGTAGCTCGCTTACACAAGACCCCTTTCCTCTTCTGCACAGAGTGACAAGCCAAAGCGCCTCCAAAAGAGTTTGCTCTGCCCACCTCCGGAGAACCTTTGCTGCCGAATCCAGCGCTTGCGCTCTGTTACTGGGTCTGGCTCACCAAGTAATTCCAAAAGAGCGCGGCAGTTTCTTTCCGGCAAACCTTTGTCCAGCTCGCCCGCCGCTCCTGCGCAAAACCCACCTGCTGGTCGCTAGAGAAAGGAGGAGGCCACCTGCGAGAGACTCCAGGAGCCCTACGGGAGTGACGCGCCGTTTTCCCTGCTTCCTTTACTTGTTCCAGTCCAACTCGTTTTGGCCACCTCGCCACCCCGCTGGGTGGGCTGAGGGACGCCTCAAAGCAAATGGGAGGGTTGACCCTGACTGAAGGAAAGAGGGGTGGGGGCGGAGTCGATTCTTCCACCTGGGGCGGATGATCCGCCTGTGCAGAACATTCTTGGGGAAGCACAACGTTGTTTTTTTTAAATTTCATGTGTCAGGTTCATATGGCATTTCAGTAATAGCAATGGATAATGTAATTCATTCTACTATGATACTTGCTGAAAACTCCGTAAATCTAATATTTGGAGCATCAAGAGCCACGCAGATATCCGGTTGACTTTTAGGATACCTTATTTAGGAAAATTGCATTCAACTGGTTATCTTCAAAGGGACCCCAGAGTAATTGGATATTTGGGATAATTTGAGGTTTTTGAAATTAGTTAAAGGCATGTAGTTAAATGTATGGGTTTTGCAAGTAAAGTCAGCTACAGATCACAGAAAATCTGTGAAATGGATGCAGCATTCAGTTAACAGGAAAAAGGATTCCTAGATTAAACTACTACACAATAGTATTGAAAAATATTTTAGAACAATATGAATAACAATCATAAATGAATTTTGTTGGGTATTTTTTAGAGAGGTGGGCATTAAACAGACTAATTCAAAATGAAGATTCAAAATGAAAAAACAAAGTAAATATGATATATTATCTATTTTATAAATAATCCTAACAGATTTCAAAATAGGTTGATTACATCTTATTTGTTGTATGCCACCTTAATGTATAAAATTGTCTTTGTAGTGTAGGAAATTACATTTTATAGTGTTTGTAAACTAGATATCTTGTCTTCAAGCCTAAGTGTATTAGATAATCATGCAAAAGGTTTCAGCCATTTTAATAATGAAAGTTTGTCCAAAGCTACTCAAATGGAAATGCCACTAAGTTTGAAATGTTTGTTTTAGGACTGGTGTTTAAAATCTTCCAAGTGCATTTTCCCATAACCTGTTCCAATTTAGATTGTTTATTCAAAGATAGAAAAACATTTTCCCTGTTCACTTTTGGCTATAACAATGACAGTTCTTATAGGATGGTTATTGTGGAACTAAAATACACCTCTGACATACATTCACTACACATCTAGTGACAACACTTCTAGAATGAAAATGAACTATCTTTGCAACTCTTAGCTGTCCATGAAGCTTTCATCAATACAATAAGGCAGCTTTACGTGATCAGCAGAAAAGCTCCTTACAGGCTGAGTAAACATCTTTATTTGGAACAGCATATTTCATTTTAATTAAATGGATACTCCCCTACATGAAAATATTTTCATTTCATACACTGTTTCTAGCAAATGTATAAATAATTGATCACAAAATGAAGTGAAGTACTGAGCTACATTTTAATGCAGATGTACTTTTTCTAATAAAATTTTATTTAGGAGGGCCATTTTTAACAGAGAAGCAGATAAGGAAGTGAATTACCTTTCCTGCACATACCTTTAAGTTGCCTTCCACTTTCCTCTGAGATATAATTAAATAAATGCTTGCAATTCCATTTGAGAAAACTATCTGAAAGGTGATTCGGAAAGTAAAAATGAGTAGTGGATTAAGCATTAATCACCTCTCTACCTACCTCTCCCTTTCCCTTTTATTATATAATTGGAGCACATCTGGGACTGTCATTATTCATAATTTCATGTGACATGTAATCTTCCCCTAGAAGTTAATGAACAAATGATTTGCTAAAAGGCTGTATAAAATGACTTTATAAAGGATTTTTCTTGAATGTTCATTTTATCTTCCTAATAAAAGTCTTAGTTATTAAAAGTTTCCTATGGCAACAATATACAGTAACACTCAATTCTTTTAAAAAAATATGTATTTATATACAGTATTTTATGTATTAAATATTGTAATACATAATCAAGAGAGACTGGAAATACCATGAATGGTTGCACAAAATATATATTAGTCTAGTATTGTTAGCCTTCTACCTCAACATGTCCTTTCTGCAAAAATTGCAGCTTTTTCGTGCATTTTCCTCTTTAGGAGTACATATAGCATTTCAAATTACATTTTAATCCAGGCAAAGTATAGAAACTATCATTTACTTTTGCATAAATTTTTGTAAATATAAAATAATGTCAAAAATGGTTTATAAGAAATTACTACCTGCAGTCATAAAATAAAAAGTATATTAGAAAATGTTAGGACCAAAAAAATAAGAAATACTACCATTTTATGGATTTCAAGCTTTTAATAAAATATCACAAACATTACAATGCAGAATAGGATTACTCTTGGGGAAGAATGAGTGATGCCAGTGGAAGTGCTGATAAACTGCAATGTTTTGATATAACCCAGAACAAGGTATGTGCTACATAGTTAATGTTGGCTAATTACATAAATGAGATCAGAAAGTGTATAGCACTTGCAATGTCTGGCATGAATAACATCTGGAAGAGTAAAGAGACCACACCCACAGCCAAATGCAGATTAGTTAATGCAATATTTTTTTCTGATTGCTACTTATGGCTGCGAAACTTGGCAGAGAGAAGAGGGGACGCCTTTGAACTATGGTGCTGGAGGCAACTATTACACATACCATGGATTGCAAAAATAACTAGTCTGAATCTCACTTAAAATATCACTTGAAGCCAAGATCTCCAAACAGAGGATATCATACTTCAGTCATGTCATGTGAGCTGACTCACTCAAAAAGTCAGTCATGCTGGGAGTGATCAGTGGAAAAATGAGAAGGGGCCATCCTAGTATCTGTTGGCTAGACACTATAAAGAATGACATTGGAATGGCCATGTCAGATCTGAAGGAGGCGATGAAAGACAAAGGGACACGGAGAGAGCTGATCCAGAGTGGCTGAGAGTCAAACACGACTAAATGGCTGATGATGAATTACATAAATACTTCATATGTCTGAATAGAGGTACATAACTGTCTTCTTCTTGTGCCATATCTGTCGTCAGACATTAGCGATCATGTTGGCGATCCTATTACTGACTCTATTACCTATCCTACATTACAGTAAAATGAATTAAGTGTCCCATATGTGTCAAAAATTAACATGCTCCCTTTTTACAAATGCATATTTAAATTGAGAAAATATTTATATGTTAAATCTGATCATAAGAAAGAACAAAATCTTGATTTGCATGTAATCACAAAATTTTTAATTCCACTGGCATGAACAGTCCGTAGGTTCCTGCATGACATATAGAATTTCAGTGCCATTTCCAGAGCAGTAAAGTGGCACAGTTCGATTCTGAACTCCATTTTCACGGCAGCATTTGCAGAACCTTAAATGGCTATCAATGTTGACATTAAAAATTGTAGCAGAGGGGCATTTTCCATCACAGGAAGCCACACTTATCTATTGGAGACAGGAAGGGAACAATGTTATTGATGGTTTCAAATTTTATCATTTACATTTATTGACAGCTTCAGTCATTAAATCTATTTTAAAAGTTTGGAAATTCATCCTCTTGCTGAATCTCTTGGATGTTCTCCTGCAATAGGTCCATTTCTATTCACTATCAGCCAGCTTACTTCCTCTGCCAGTTGCTATTTTTTGATAGCTTTGCCATTTAATTCTGAAAAAAGGATACCTGTGGCTACTATGTAATAGATGCAAATATTACTTTAATATACATATCAGTGTGTTGCCCTAATGCATCCATGCCTGACATGGAAAGAGAAAGAAATATTAATAAATAATAGGACATCTCCATTTCAAGGCAGCAAGCTTAATATTCCTCCATACACATACTCATGGACATGTTAGATGAGGTAATATGTCAACACAAACATTTATTCTTGCACATGGAAAATGGTGTCCCTCTTGATTCTATTAGACCTCATAGTGGTATCTAGTATCATCTACCATTAAACCATTCAGAGCTATCCACAGGGGTTTGAAGTAGGGAGGATACTATTTAATGGTGATTATGCTCCTATTTGAGTAGGTGGGTCCAGGCTATGGTGCTTGGGGCAAAAGAATTTAAGCCCATGGAACCCCTAAGCAGAGATCTCCAAAGCCCAGACTGCTTCCCTTACTATTTAACATTTAGAATAAAGCTATGGAAGATATCACCCAGTGATCTATATGTAATGTTGATAACACGTTGATGATTTTTGGTTTCTGCATCACCATCCAAAAGATACTGCAAGGATCCTGAAGAGGTTATGAATAGAGCAAAATGAACTCAGATTAAATCCTACAGCATTTCTCTGCGTGGGATCACATTCCCCTGAAAGAAGGGCTTTGTGACTTGTGGGTTTGCCTGTATTCTCAACTCTTGCTTCAATAGCAGATGAAAGTTGCTGCTGATACAGCAGACAGAAAAAGGCAGCCAGGAGGCCTTTCTCCATAATCCACACAGCAATTTAAAGTAAGTTGAATAAGCATGTGTTCAATAGACATTAAGAAAGTTACATGTACAGGTTACATACATATGGAGTTCCAGTTACATGGACCAGGAGGCCACAGTGATGGTGATTCCGAATAGGCTGAACTACTGTGACACACATAGTCTTGCTTTGGAGATCACTTAGAAATTACACTGGTGCAAATACAACAACTTGATTATTGGCAAAATGAGTCCCCTCAATATTAATTAAACTCAATTCTTGATTGGGTTATCAGTAGGCTTTGGTAAAGAACTGGTCATTGCCTAATTAGGAGAGGCAATTCTATTCTGCACTAGTCATCTGGTTTGAGATGTCTCTGAAGTGATGAAGTCAGCATTTAAATAAAGTTAGGGTAAAAGCAATTAAAGTGTGAATTCTTTTTATGAGTAGGAGGATATTACTAGGGAGAGAGGTTTTCCGGATGTCAAAACAGTAATAGGATTTGCATGTATGTTTACCACACTATACAAATCTGTTTTAGCAGCTGATATGCTCTTAAGGCTAAGAGAAAGTGACTAGAGACAATGGCAAAACATTTCTGAAAAACCTTGCCAACAAAACTGCAGGAACTTGTCCAGGCAGTCTCCAAGAATCAAACAGGATTGAATGGAAGAAAATACCCTGCTCCTATATCTGAAGTAGCCCCCCCATATTAGGCATTTATACTTACAGGACTTTGGCTTATGCAGTCTTCTTTTCTTACAGTAGTTCTGACCATTATTTTCTGGCAAATCCTTTCATCTCTTTTACCTGATAAAACATAAAGTACGAAGACAATAATCAAGACACTTTTTACTACATCATTAGTTAAAGAGCTCTTTAAGTGTGCGTCATCATCTAAACATGCACCATGGTGTCTAATCCTCCACCGATAATCCATTTGCGGAGCTTTGTTTTGTTTGTAATAGCAGAACATCTCAGCTGTTTATGCACATTCATTTATACTTCAAGTTATTTTCCTAGTCTCTTCCTAATGGAACACTTAGATATGAAGGCTGTATAGCAGTTGGATTTAAAATAGGTTGAACATGCATATTCAGTAAGTGTGAAGAAGGTTACACACAAATCAAAATGTGTATAAAAGTTAAGAGTATGGAATGCTTAGTATTGGCAGTTCTAGCACAATCTCATTTTTCTGGTCCCCTTGGGCAGTTAATTTAGAGTTTCTATCAGATCTCTGAATTGACTAGAGGATTTCCAAGAGCAGCTCAACAAAGATGCAGTCCTTTTTGTGTGACACAGCACACCTGGCTATCCAAGAAACTACTCATAAGTAAGAGCATAGACAAGATTGTCATTTAATTTTAGAATGGGAAGAAAGTATCTGCAGAAAATACTCTACAATCTGAATTACACTGCATCCAGAAATTATAGCAGGCATAACTGCAAAGGCAGAATGATTTCCAGTTTCATTGTGCGGACATCATAACACAACATTCAAACCTGCCTATTTTCCCTATTTTCCTATTTCTTTAGTTCAATTTCAGATCCATTTTGATATTATTACAAGTATAATTAATAGTCTTTTTCATTGTTTTAATTCATCACCCAGGGTAAAATAACCCCATCATACTGTAGAAAATTAAGAAGGGCATTCTGATTTTCAAGGTCCATTTCTAGAAAGATTAGACTAGCTTATTTGATACAACTTTTAGACTATTCTGCTGTTACTAATATTGCTATTCACTTTGGGTAGATTTCCCTGATATATTGTAACATATATATTCTATCAGTATTAGTTAAGATTTGCTTTTACATGTTAGATTGCTTTATGAATTGATTGTGAACTACTTTGAACATTGGAAAACAATTCAATCAATAGAGGGAAAAGAACAGCAGAAATTTAAAATGCCAATAAAAGTCACAAAATGGGTGTTGTCCACATCATTAATTCTAGTAGAAATATATTTTTGCTACTTTTCTGGCCATGTTCAATGTTTATATTTCAAGAATTATATCCACAGAATTGTTTACAAAATCAGATTCGTGAAGTGCATCTTGAGGTAGTGCTAGTTTTCCTATGAAATTATATATATATATAATAATTATAATATATATATAATAATTATAGAATCAATCAACACTTCTCTGAATCACAATTTAATGTAATATATCTATGTATATCAAGATTATTTTAAAAAATAAAGAAAATAAAATACATTTATTAAAAATAGTAATACCTGGTTCACAATTAATACTATCAGTAGAGACTACAGGGCTAATGGCAAAGGGTAATACACCCCGTCCAGAACCTGGCAGAATTATTGGGAATATAAGTTTCTTGTAATACGCAAAAACATTTTTATATATACAACATTGCATTAATTCTTACACTGCCAACTGTTAATAATTTCTATGGAAGCTGTTCTTTTTTATAAAAAGGAACAAGTATTCTTATTTTTTTAAATTAATTATATCCCTATGTTTTAATACCCGTGTGGATAATAAGGCCCTTACATTTACATATGAAAAAAGAAACCTGGAACATGATTTGGCAAGGTAAGAATTAAACATATGAACTCACTCAGCATGCATATAATCATTCACTTTTCAAATAAAGATTATTCATTACCATTAAAACCCAAGGAATTTTAAGCTGTCCTTGTGGCTCACTTACATCCTTAACCATTAAAAGCACATGCTTTTAGTTTATTCTAAAAAATTCTTAGTATATAAAACAGTATTTAATATTGACTTTTTAAATTGTTCAGCAAACAATTCTAAAGATAATAACTAAAGCCAAATTTTTTGATTAAACATTGTTTTAGAGAAAAGTAAAGTAAAATTCTACCCATCAATGACTGCCTTTTACATGATTTGCTTCATTTATATAAATATTGATGGGGAGAGAGAAATGTATGATCTTCTTGAGATGTTATTAACCTTCAAATATCAATTTAGTGACATAATTGCCAATATTTTCCTTGTCATTTTATTACTCACAATAGGTAAAGGAATTTCTAGATTTAAGTCCTGATGTGAAGAAAGAGATACTTTGAAATTGTTAAGAAAATATATTTATGTGTGTTGTAGGTTCCAGAATATTCTGAGTAGAAATCTGATCAGGAAGCATTATTTTGGAAAATTGAAGAGACACAGATTGCTTCTTCTCCTTGACACTATACCATGGGCAGTACCATTTAATGGCAATGCAGAGTGCAAGACAACATTTAGCAAATATGAAAGATGATAAAGGAATTGCTGGTAGTAAGATGTTTCCTTGGTGAGCTATCTTTTTCTGCAAGTGTTTCATAAAAGCCAGTGTGGTATAGTGGTTAAAGGGTTACACTGGCACCCAGGAGACCAGTTTTCTTGTACACTGGGTAAATTTCTATCCAATCTGTATCACAGGGGTATTGTATAAAAATGGAGATGGGAGGTGTTAGACAAACTGCCATCAACTTCTGAACAGAAGGCAGGAGGTCTAAGAAATAACTGTATTATTTTAGGGGTATCTATTGTAAATAAATACCAGAGGAAAAATTCACTATTTGTAAAATTCACAATAGTGAATTTGATAACATACTACAGATCTTACCCAACATCTAAAGCAGTGTTTCTTAATCTTAGCAATTCCAAGATATATGGATTTCAACTCACAGAACTCCCCAGTCAGTATGACTAGTTTAGGAATTTTGGGAGTTGAAATCCACACACCTTAAAAGTTGCTAAAGTTGAGAAACACTGCTTTAGATATTGGGTAAAATCTGTAGTATGTGGATATAAATTTATGGAAAACAGAATACCTTGGTATAAGCCTTTTTAAATCCAGAGACAGCTGTTCTAAAAGATACTAGATACACATAACACTGCTTGACAAGATCTCACCCAGATTTGTTGAACTGCAACATGAAGGATTTCCCAAAGAATAAAAGTAAAAGATATAAATAGGCTTGCTTGAGAAAAACATTTTTGAGAGTGTTAGCAATTATCAAAATGCAGCTGTCTTTTTCTTTCTTTGGTGCTTCTTATTCAGGTGTATTTGATCCTGTTTTCTTTGTTGGATTTTCAAGTAAGGCTAGGAGAAGGACACTATTTTGCTGGCAATATTTGTATTATGAACAAAAAAACCTAACTACAGAACATTTTCATTCCAGTTCAAATAGAAAATTCCAGCTTCAGCTGGACTCCAAAGAACCATCCTGGATTGGATGGATTTTACTATCTCTAATAAAATATCCAAATTCCACCACTATGAAAGGTAATCATGCTTACATTTAAGTTCTCATTTAAACTGAGGCTTTGAGAAGTAGGATTATCAGTAAACAAACCTTGTTATATATATTTTTGAGTAGAATATTTGTCACTATCCTGAATGAGAAAATTCATGAACTTTTAGAGCTGGCCAATATCTTTTACAGTGCAGTTATTGAAACTACAGTATTCAAACAATAATACATTTTCACATTTAATGTTTTTAGGTAATGTCTCAAAAGTGCAATTATCTCTTTTTATACAAGCGTTTTATATAATTTGTTCATGTAATCTTATTATGGCTGTACATAGTATATTTCCATAGAACATAAGTAACCACTAACATTTGATTTTTTGACTGACTTAAACAAAATCTTTATATTTTCCCATTTTCATATAATCATAGGTGGATTAACAAACTAGAGAAAAACCCTATTAATAAATTGGATAACTTTTATTTTCTAAAGGTATTCAAAACAATTTTGGCCATATCTATATTATTTTGGGGAAACTGATTATATACCAAAAAGAAAGGGTTAAAACACAAATTTTAATTTTAATATCACCATGTTAGCAGCCATATAAAGCCAGGCTTGTCGATTACTTTTTGTTAAGGACTGGACACATATGACATGATTCAGAGACAGCATGCTGTTTTCTTTTCATATGTCTCCTTAAAGAGGTTAAGAATGCACACAACTGTCCAAACCCAAAGCAGCCAGTACCAACGCAGAACTAGCACACAATACAGCTGTCTTCACTTACAGATCTTGCAGCAGCCATTGTGATAGGTCTGCACAGAGCCTCCATTCTAGGAAAATTAAAAAGGAATATTTCAAAAAAGACTGTGCTCAAAGAAACATTTTGAGGCATATGGAACTGCAATGCATATAAACAAAAAACTACATATCCAATCCAAACTACAAATATTTAACTATTTTAATTAAGGGAACATTTTACATGGAGGGATCTTTCTGTTCTTTTAAGATATAATTTGTAAACTGGAGGCCTCCACAGGAATTGCAGAGTTCTAGATATATGCTACTTTTTCAGCTTGGCTGTTAAGAAGAAAAATGCTGTACAAGACACTTTTCTTAACACCAGGCTGAAAAAATAGCATACAACTAGAATTCTGAAATTCCTGTGGAAGTCTCCCATTCCAGAATTATATCTTAAAAGAACTGAAAGATTCATAGTGAATTGTCCCTTCGTGTAAAATGGAAGGAAAACTTTATTTCCTCAGAATGTCATTGCCTCCTGATATATTGAAAATTACTTATGCAGCCAAAAATCCTGGAGAAAAAGTAAAAAACAATGGATGCCATTATACATAATATAATAATATATATAATAATTATATATACACATCAGACAATGTGTAGGCATTTGGGGAAATAGAATCAAAGACTAGACAGTATATGTTGCTAAAATGATTATGAATGAGGGAAGGCAGAATCAAGTTTAACCTCTGTAACTCTAATTTATATTCCTTTGGAGGTTATATGGGCTAATGGGGGAGTATATTAGATTTCAAAGTATTACCAGTATGCAGATATAATTTGGAAGAAAAAAATAAGACAATAAAAGCAGTTTTTTTTATATTTTTATAATATTAAACACACCTTGATATTAATTTTGCAACAAATTAAATACATGTGAATAAGGAATATTTTTATGTATAAAGTACAAACCTTTACACAATCAGTCTCATTAAAGGGTGGGCAAAACACACTGGAGCCAAGTACCACTGTCTCTGCTCCAATCTTTGCACATTCATATTTAGTGCAGTTTGAGTCCCATGTGCTTCCTTCCTATTAAAAAAAAAGAGACAGAGTAGGGAAAAGGAAGTAAATGGAAAACTGGCTACAATGTAGCAAAATAATGATTGAATCATATGTTAAAACAACGTTCCAATCCTTAATGGCTTCAGGTATGCTGCAGTTGACCACAGCTGGGTAGTACTGTAATTTTAGTTTAATGAATACTAAATTCTGTTGAACAGTCAGTGTTTTCTGAGAACATCATAACAATGGCTTAATGCAGTAGTAGGAGCCAGTTTGGTGTAGTGACTAAGGTACTAAGCTAGAAACCAGGAGATCGTGAGTTCAATCCTGCCCGAGGCTCAAAGCCAGCTGGGTAAATTTGGGTGGATCACTTTCTCTCAGCCCTAGGAAGGAGGCAATGGCAAACCACCTCTGAAAATTCTTGCCAAGAAAACTGAAGGGACTTACCTCAAGTATCCAAGCATCAATCAAGATTGAACGGAAGAATAAAAAAGAAGTAATATGATAATCTGTTTTTCATAGGAAGCATTTACAAGAAGGGCAACTTCAGCAGAAAACAGCTGTTCTTTATTGCTTAACACCAGAAATAGAACTAACATGTAATTTAGTTTGCTGTGCTAAACAGTATGGTGAGTATGGTAGGGTGAGTATGGTGTCCACACAGATGCAGGTAACTTTGGTTAAATGTCTGCTCATATGTAAATCATACTTAAACAGAATTCATTTACTAATATCAAGCTAACATCAGTATCCCTGGTGTCATTTATATACTTAGATCATTTAGTTAATCATATCTCAGAGTCCTAGTGGACAACCATTTAAATATGAGCCAGTTGTATGCAATAGCTGCCAAAAAAGCACAGTTCTAGGCTGCATAAAGAGAGGGATAGAATCAAGACCATGTGAAGTGTTAATACTACTTTATAATGTCTTGGTAAGGCCATTCTTGGAATACTGCATTCAGTTTTTGTCACCACAATGTAAAAAGATGTTGAGACTCTAGAAAGAGTGCAGAGAAGAGCATCAAGAATGGTTAGGGGACTGGAGGCTAAAACATATGAAGAACGGTTGCAGGAATTGGGTATGTCTAGTTTAATGAAAAGAAGGACTAGGGGAGACATGATAGCAGTGTTCCAATATCTCAGGGGCTGCCACAAAGAAGAGAGAGTCAAGCAGAGATGGTATTCAGCAGGTTCTGACCAGTTCTGGAGAACCGGTAGCAGAAATTTTGAGGGGTTTGGAGAACTGGCAAATACCACCTCTGACTGGATAATTTACAATATCCTTCCCCTGCCACACCCACAAAGCCATGCCTACAGAACTGGTAGTAAAAAAATGTGACTCCCACCACTGGAGTCAAGCTATTCTCCAAAGCAATGGGTTGACAAGAAGCAATGGGTTGAAACTAATCAAGGAGAGAAGCAACTTAGAACTAAGGAGAAATTTCCTGACAGAACAATTCATCAGTGGAACAACTTGCCTCCAGAAGTTGTGAATGCTCCAACACTGGAAGTTTTTTTAAAAGATGTTGGATAACCATTTGTCTGAAATGGTATAGGGTTTCCTGCCTAAGCAGGGGGTTGGACTAGAAGACCTCCAAGGTCCCTTCCAACTCTGTTATTCTATTCTATATTCAATGTGTAATATGATCTCCAATCAAGAAAAGTTTGACTCAAGAGTAATCATATGAGAAAATTGTAGAATTTAGCACTTGACTTATTGTTCTTATCCTTATTGTTTTCTGAACTTTTTTAACCCACTTACTTCATAAATCTCAAGAGTTCCATTATCAGTATAAAAAGGACATGAGACATTTATACAGGAACCACAGCAAGAATGTTGACCATCAGATGGGCTGTGTACTTGATGCTGTTAAAAGAAAAGAATGTCCATATGGATTGTATCATATATATATAGGTTGCCAGTGCAAGTAGTGCAACGAAGCCGAAGGCACCAGCCTGAGGATGACAAGTGGGACCTCTCCAAAACATCGCCAAGATAGTCTTAATCTTACATGGGAAAAGACCCAAACACCTACATACCTGTACCCGTGAAAATCTATGAAAATATATATTGGCAACTATATCTTTCTTGTTAATGAAATATAAGCTTAGGTTTGACAATGCCAATCAACAAGTTAGTTTTAGTAGCATTTTTCTTTAAAGTAATATATGTAACAGTCTTATACCAAATAAAAAGTAGCATTGTACATAGCAGGTGTACACAACCTAGTTTGATCTCAGAGTTTGAACATGTTGGGAATGTTATTCTTAAAAATGAAAGCAACAGAACAAGGGTAGAAATTACATGCAATTATGGCTATATTTTAAAAAATACAATTAAGTACATTTAACATTTTTATTTCCTATGTATTTAATAAGATTCTGTTTGTACCATATTCAATATGAAAAATTGCTTCCTACTATAATATGCAGGTTTTCATCCAATTATTAGCGAAGTGATGATAATATAATGAAGATTATCCAGCTAATGTTGACTTTTTTTAAAGAAAAAAGTGATATGTGATGTGAGATAGTGATTTTTTTAAACATAAAAAGATTGTGCTATAAAGCTATAAAATGGTGTCACTTGAATTAACATCGTCTGATGAATTAACTTTATGTTTTTGGAGAGAAAATAGAAGTCAACTCTCAATTTCTGTCTGCAAATTCCTTTCCCCTGTCCCAGGACAAAGATAGAGCAAAATATTATGAAATGAGTCCCACAGCTTTGTAAGATGTTCCCTTGATTAGACTAGATCAGATATAATATGTTCATACTCAAACTATGCTTTCCAAAATGCCTGTGAAGATCAAGATGAATAGAGTTAGTTGAATCTCATGGAAGCTACTTTATTCAGTGTCAAAGCGGGATAATTTTGTGTATGAAATCTACTACTTGCTGGCTTCCTGTCTTGAGCCACATTGCACCACCAGCTCTACGAAGGCAGGAAGCCTTAGTGAAGGAGTACAACAAAATTATGAGAAACCTACATCTTCCTGTGCACACTGATCTTCCTCATCTATCAATTGGCAGGCTTAAATCCAGGAAGCCCTCTCTGGCACTCGCTCAACAGCTATCTAACAACTTTTGATATCAACACACAGTGGAAAGCCAAATGGGCTGTTGAACGTCCAGATACAGGCAGTTACATAGATGACCCTACATAAAAGGTGCCAGGTTTTGACCTTTCTCGCCAGCATTGGTCAACTCTGAACAGAATCTGTACCCAACATAGTGTCTGCCAGGTCTCATTGTTTAAGTGGGGTCTTGTCTCTACCCCTCAGTGTGACTGTGGTACCCATCGACAAAATATCCATTGTGTCTGAATGTCCGTCAAGAGCTTACACTGGCCCAATGTCTGATTTTTTTTAACATAGATCACCCCGTCTTTGAATAGCTGGGTGGAATGGACATTAACATTTGAACCACTATAAGTCCATGTATTTGCCATGCGATAAATAAATCAATAATTTTTTTCTATACATGCACAATCCCAAAATACCACAAAAAGAGATAAGGGGCTGCTTTAAAAGTTCATGCAGTGAGTCCAGAGTGTGCAGTTTTGCCTACCATACAAAAGCCAAAACCATAATGATAAAAGAAGGCTAGGAAAATAAGACATACAGAAATACCATGGATTGAGAAACTCTGAGAAATAAATGTAAAAGAAATAAATTATATTTCTTCTCTGGAAAAATAACAGGATCACTGCATACATAAGCACATAATTCATATATTTCACCTGCATCTGTTTTAAAATACCTATTGGTTACAAATTAATTACAAATTTCTCCATTCCTGGGAAATAGATTTTGCTTTAATCATTGACTTTGGATGCAAAACTGGTTTTGATGTGGAGACATTTATTGGAATAAGGAAATCATTGAATCTGACTTCTTATTTTATATTTCCCTAAATAATAAATTCATTTATTTTGAACACAGGTTAAGATATTGCTCACCATTTTAAATAGATTTTAAATTAATTATTAATATTAATTATGTCCAGAAATGATTTTATCTGCATATTTTTACTTACTGCTTCACATTTTTGGGAACAATTAACTACTGCCAGATTTATAGTGTGGAATCCTGTGTTAAGGTCTCTTTCTTGTGAACACTTTGCCATATAACAAAGTTCTCCATCCAAATATTGAATCAATGTCTGACCCGGGTTCAGTACAGTGACTTCTTGGAATATACAGACATTTTCTTTTTCTAGGGAGAGAGGGCAGGAGGAAGGAAGGAAGGAAGGAAGGAAGGAAGGAAGGAAGGAAGGAAGG